TTTTTCCATGTTGAGGGGGCGATTAGTAACAATTTATATTTTGGAGGGGGCGAAAAACAATTTTCTGGGCAATATAGTAAAACATTATATTAAGAATAATTAGATATTTTATTCGTTATATCGTACAATAATTAAACAAATAACATTATACTAGTCACTAGTCTATTCAATGCAGTATGAATTTGGCGTTAGCCTTGGCCCTGGGCATCGGAATTTTGAAGTGAAGGGGCAATACTATGTAATGGTTTTATTGAAGGGGGCAATACTACGTTAAAGGGGGTGACGATTCGTTAGAGGTTGAGAAACACTGATCTAAATTGACTAAATTTGATATTTAATCCATTTAGAATTTTTAAGTTATTTAAATTTTAATGTAATTCTTTTAATAGTCTTGCATAAATACTATAATTTCAATATGAATAATGCAGAGATTATCTGTGCCATTCAAAGAGAAATAACACAATGATTGCAAAGAAAATTTTCATTGATCTTGAGCAACCAATTTGGTGTGGATTATACTTTGATTTTAAATTGCAATTATGAATTTATCCAATAGTTTTTCCTTTGTCTAAACTAATCATGTTTAAAACATCTGAAAAATTCTTTATGCACTGCATATTTATCTGTCAATGCAATTTTTCACCATTGGTATGTGGTACATGTTGTTTTTCCTCCTTGATTCAGCTTTTATGCATGATTGGATTGCACCAACAGACAGCTATTCCGGGGTTTTTTCCTGTCATTGTATTGTGGACTTAGAATATAGTTGTTTGTAGAAAAGGTTTTTATTGTTTGTGAATAGTTTGTTTTCTTGATATATTGGTTTTTGTACTGTAGTTCCACATAGCATCTTCATAGCTTGAGCATCAACCCTAAGTCTCTTATCAGCTTTAACTAGGAGCACATTGTTCTTCCTCATTTATTTCTTTTAATGTTATTTTAAAAAGACATGATGATTGTTGTGTTTCTCATTGTGAAATTGAATCAATGCTTTCCATGTAAAGTAATTCATTTTGCATATCACTTAAACTTTGGCTGCAAGTGTTTATTTGAAAATATTAATGAATTCCTGTATGTCTGTGTATCACATTGATTTTAATGTATTGTATCAGCCCACCTGATTGTTGTCTAATGTTACCTATTTGTGTTTCATAACATGCTTATATTTTGATGCTTGTGTATATTTTGATGTGTCTGTCTGTCATGTTTTTATTTTAATGATAGTATGTTACTTCAGTGACTACAGTAAACTATATAGTATTTTTTTTTTCATTAAATATAAATTTAATTGGCACTGCAAAAGGCTTCAATAACTTTCATAAAATTGATACGTAAAATGCTCTTACTTGAAATGTAGGTACCAAACAAATTCACTTGTGTATTCAGATCTAAAGTTTTATGGTCTTTAAAATTAATGTATACATGGCAGGTAAATTTGTATTTGGAAACAAACAAAACAAATATTTCATTTTTTTATATGAAGCTTTTATGCTGTGATTGTTGTAGCCAAATAGACAACATAAATTTGGCCTTGTTTTCTTTCACAAAGTCAAGTTAATTGATTGTTTTTACCAGATGATATGAGTATATTGTCAATCTGTGTAGACTTTTGGTATTGTGTGTGTAGACATGTGTTATTGATATTTAGACTAAAGGTAGGCAATGTTCCCATTTGTCAATGTACTGGGTGATTGTAATTAAAGTATTCATTCTCATTTAATGTTATCTAAATATTCTTTACTCCACAAGTGAGTGCATAGATAGACACTGGGCATCACTAGTGATTTGGTTTCCACCAGGATTTTCTTAATCTCATTCTCATGGACGAGATTAGGAAACATCAACTGAGTTACATCAACTTTCTCTGTACCTTCCACAGTGTGCCAAAGGATACACTCAACTGGTGTGACATTGCACATGCACTACTGGAGCCAACATCATTATCATTGACTGTTCAATAACAGCTATGGTAACATCTTCAACAACTTGTGAAGTGATAGGTTTGTATCCACAATGAGGTTGAACTCTCAGACATCCAGTTTCTTCAAACTGATTGAGTCTCCTGAATCTTGTGGAGTCAATGGTTCTTGGCATAAATTTGCCCTGGCTATAAGGTGAACATAACTGACCTAGAACATGGCCAATAAGTTAGACTGCTAAATATCATAATTTTGCAAAGACATAGCTTTAATAAAAATGTCATCTCTGCAAAGAAAAACTGGTTTTGCTGGTGATTGAACAAAACAGAAGAATGAATATGATTTAGTTTCATCCATATTTAAAATTGTGAAATATACTGTCTGCCATTTTAATTTGCTAAATAACCTTTTAGACAACAGTGATAAGAACATTGTGATCATTCAGTATATCTTGATGAAAATGTACATTTAAGAAGTGACAACATAATAGATAATAAGATTAATATATTATTTTCTAACCTTAAAATAGTCTAAAAAATTTTGATAATTGGTTCTGCTTATATTATATTGAATTTAGCTCTTGTAAAGATTCTAAGATATATGATTTATAATGCAATAGAAATATTTAAATATTTATTGGACAAAGAAATTTAAAAAAAAAATGTAATATTGCAAATAATATAAAAAAGATCTTGAAATTTTTATTTACTAATGTAAATGAATATTTTTATATTTTTAGGTGTTATTCAGTAAATCTCCAGTCAAGGATTTATGTGCTGTAATTTTATCCATCTGTTCTCTGTTTCCAGGTTAGAAATCAAAACATTTCTCATTAATATGAAATTTAATGTTTTAACTTAATTAATTGATCATAATTTTTAGACAAAATTTATGAAAGTACTGGGGCTATGTACTGCATCATTTATATTTGTATCTGAAATTAGGTTTCTTTCATGTAAAAAAGAAAAGTTTATTTAATTTATGGATTTCTGTTTGATTATTAGTCAATAGTTATAAATTTAAATAATATCATTTAATATTATCATTTATCAGATATATTTATTATATTTATAAATTTAAATAATATCAATTAATACAAAAATTATCATTTATTTTATTATCAAATCAAACAGTAATTGATGTATTGGTATTGTAATCCTGTTGTCCTCTTACAGTGATACTACATCTTTATTAATATACAAAAGTACTATCAGTACAGAGATGATTACTCTGTTCTTTTACACTCTGCTTAAATGTTCTTAAGATACTCCAACATATTTTAGTTTATCATCTTTTTCATTGGATTTTACAGGGATAGAATACACCCTATGCTGTTGATATTATGTCCTACTTATCATTTGTCATCCTGTCAAAAGTGGTCAAATCCGTTAATGCACTATCCTGTACTTTTCATTTTCTCCTTTAAGTGGAGTTTGATGAGTTAAGTGGAGTTTGATGAGTTTAGTTAAAGGCAGGCCCATTACATGAACATCTTTTGTTCTCTGACATTTTTTTTTCTTTTAGCTTGGTATTCCTCACCCCCTTTCAAATTGTTTCTTCTGAAGGTTATCCACCAAAAATTACAGTATACATCAGCTTTAACTAGGAGCACATTGTTCTTCCTCATTTATTTCTTTTANTATTACTTTATTAATTTATAATTTTTATTTTACAGAAATTGCTAAATAAAAGCTCTGACATTACCAGAGGATCTGTTCAGAAAAGTGTGTGTGTATTAAGTGTTCTACCTTTATATGGACTTATTCAAGCTAAATTAGAATTGATTACTCATGCTTACTTTGATGAAAGAGATTTTAGCAAAGTTTCTCTTTTGGAAGAAACATACAAAAACCTGAATGCATCTTTGTCAAGGGAAATGCTTAGTGGAACACAAGCATTTTTAGGTGTGATGAACTTAAGATTTTATGAAAAGTAGTTAAATTTTTATCATTGAAAATTTATATCTAATTTTGATTAAATACTTTTATAAATTTGTTAAAAATAGACTAACGTTATTTTAAAAATAATTCAAATTACCTAAGTTTAGCTAATAATAACAATGTTTATTATTAGGGTACTTTTGAAGTGAGTCATAAAGTTTTTGATGCAAAGCATTACAGATCCAAAGGGTGACAAAAGAACTCATTGAAGAAAGCCTAAAATCAGAAATTTTTAATCAAATTAAGCAAGGAGGGGAAGAATTTCCTTTCTGCTGAATCTGTTGATCTATAACCCTTTGCATCATGGAATACTATCATTCACTTTGTAAGTTTCACCTTTGTGTCAACATCACAGCATGGTGTTAACTGAATGGACATTACAGAAGAATGTCAGTGTACATTGGAACAAACTTATAATTCTCAAAAACTGGTTTGACATAAATATAATTAGAATAGATGAACAATGCTTCATCCATGTTTTGGGAAAGTAACTGAAGGTTGTTATTTCAAATTATTCAATCAACATAGACAATGGAGTGGGCACCCTTGGCTTACAGAACAGTTAAGCACTTGCTAAAATAGGTTGAAGATTTGGAATATTCTTTTCAAAAATAGCAATTATATCAGCCATTTCTTCACATTGTGTTTTTACATCCCAGTAGCTAATGATAATACATTATAAATTTAAAAATGTGGTATTTTTGCTTAATGTGTTTTAAATTTTTACACATTTTACATTATTTGTACTGCTTTTGTTTGTATTTAAGAATGTATTTGGACAGCCATTAAATGCTAATAAGTTCAATCTTTATTCTTATTTTAAAACATAACATCTTTTTATTCATATGATGTGAATTCTAAGCTGATGTTGTCATAATTCAGGATGAAAATGTTTCTTCAGCAATTAATTAGTTCGTTTCCTGAAGTAAGCATTCTTAATAATTGAATATTTACATCTTATTGTTCCAAATGTGTGTGAAGTAGTTAAAGTAACATTCTTATACAATTTAAAATAAGTAATTTCTGAATTTGAAGAAAGTAGTAAAATCAACTCGTATCTATTTTACCAGTGTGTATATCATCACACTTTCCAACAGTTACAAATGTTTTCAAACCATTACGGTTCTTCTTCAGGTAACGATCCCTAATGGAATGAGGTTCAAAGTTGTTATGAAATACAATCCAGAATGATGTCCCGACCCGATGACGTCACTACGGACTTGCGCATTATGCATGGTATGCTCTATCTTAGAGATTTATTTATCAGGGCCTGCCAGGCCATCGATAGAGCGATTTCATCCTTGTAGTTAATGCAATTACGTTTTTCACTCGTGTTTAGGTATATGTAGATCGCCTCCAGCCATCTGAGTTGGTTCATACAGTGGGTAGTGTGAATGACCTTTGCTTGAGAGAATATGGGTTCTATGTCAGGGTCCGACGAGTATACGACAAGAACTGTGTTGGTTCTTTCATGGTTGATATCCGCTCTATGCTCTTTGATCCGGATTACTAGAGGGCGTTTAGTTGATCCTATGTAGATCATGTTTCTATCACACCTGTGATTAATGATAGGGATGGTGTAGACGCCGGGGAGCTTATTTCGGTCTGGGGTGTCTTTTCCGTTCCTTAACAAATCAAAAATTGTAGCGCATCTTCTAAATGTAATACAGATATTCTTTTTCTTAGCTATCTCCTTGTATATGGATTTTAGTACCGGATTATATGTGATAGGGATGTGGCTATTAGGAGTAACGTTGGAGAGTCGGTGCCAGTTTGCTTCCTGCTGCAGTTTGCTTCCTGCTCCTACAAACATTGTAGCAACATAACACTAGCTACTTTAGTCAATTTTCAAAGTATACTGCTGAGTTGGAAAAATATGAACTTGATCATAACATTAAATGTTTTAATTATGTTCAATTTGCTAAGCTGTATGAGAACTACAAAAGTAGAAGATATTGTACAATCTTATTCTAATATGGAAATTAGTGATGTAACGAATATTCGGTTACTATTCGGTATTCGGCCTATTTTTCACTATTCGGCCGAATATTGAATATTTAATCATTATTCGGCCGAATACTGAATACCTAAAAACAGGAGTAAGAAATAACAAAAACACAGTAAATTAATCATTTTGGTATTTAGATTTAATGTTGTCGGGTTAGTGTTGTTTGTTTATATTTATTTATAACTTATAACATGCACAAAATAAAAAAGAAAATAATATTAGTCATATGTATTCACAATTTATAATTACAAAGATCAGCATACGTGCACACCTACTCGTTCGAGAATCGTCGCACATCTGAGGGTCTGGGCCTGCCTATCCTTCTTTGTAAGCGCTCGTCTTTTCACTTCCCTTTCTCTTTCCTCTATATATATCTATATAGTCCACGTATGCTTATGCATACATCATAATATGCGCTCATGATACTTCGATTCGTCACTTTTCCATCGTAGTTTTTCCATTTTATAATTACGTGACTCATAGTATGGTGATAATGGAGAAAAGAGACAGATAGGACGTCGGTATATGTCACAGTTATGATTTCACAGATTCGAGACAGCTTGGTAGCCCGAATGGTCTACTTAGCGTGCACAGGCTTTCGCCTGTGCACGCTAAGTGACTTTCATTACAAGCATTTAGCTTTCCGAAGTCTATGACAAGAATTGTTTGGCATTGACGCCCGCGAATTTCATGCCAATAAGCTGCTTCGACTTGTTTGATTATGTTATCAACTCAATTTCATATTTATTTTCACATTTTCTCTTTGCGGTCCTTCTCTGTTCTTTTTCCGTTATTTACACATTTAGGTCATTTCATTGTTATCCACATTTGATGTAATCATTTATCACATACTGCCATGATGCTCTTGTCTGTCTGCTACAACTGTCAAGAATTAACACGATTGGCGAAGCGTAGTGACAGCGGGCCAATAGAGAGCAGGATCCTTGCCATAATGCAGTTTGTGCGCCAATTTTTGTACATGTGTTAATCAAGCCGAATAGTTTGCCCGAATATTCGGCTATTCGGCCACACTCCTGGCCAAATATTCGGTATTTGGCCTGAGGCCGAATATACTATTTGTTGCAACACTAATGGAAATCTTTCTTAACATTAGAAAGACCATGAATTATCCATATGTTCACTTCATTAATTTACTGTTGTGGGTTGTTTTGACCTATGTATGAAAACAATGTGTTTATTTTATTGAAAATAAAGAATTATCTTATCCCATTTAATATTTCCTTGAATCTGTTTCTTAGATTGTATTGGAGAAAAAAAGGCAGAGCACATCATGCAGCACAAAGAAGATAGAAGCATATTTTTAGCACTGTAGGCTCCATGAGCATATAGAATTGTTAAAAATGCTCTAATTTCATTCAGCGATGTCTTCCAAGATATTTCTCCTAGTTGGCAATGTGCTTCTGTTTTGGTACATTTCAGGATGTTCTGGAGAATTAGTTCATTAGTCAAAAATCAGAAGGCACTTAGAAAATTACCTTTGATGATAGGCTGCTTGGTCAATGTGGTCAGTCTGGCTGGTTCATGAATAATGTTTCATTGCAGTAAGTGTCCTGGGTCTTATTGGTGGGATCTAGGACTATCCACATAGCATCATTGCATGCATATTCTGTAGATGCTTATGGTATATTTGTCCTGCTTGGAGTGGCTGTTCTAGTAATATTACTGTCACCACTATCAGCGAAATGACTATGTCCACATCCATTATCCATAACCACATCTTTCACTTTTATCTTGAGAAGAACTGTCAGAAATAGTCCTAGGATATATAGTTGATTCATGGGGTGGTGAGGATTGGCTTAATACTGACTCTATGCTATGGTCACTCAGTGGAGTGCATCGGTGGAAGTTGAAAAGTTTCATTTTTGTCAATATCTTTGTTAGCATTCTGACTGTTTAGATTTGTTATCATTGATGTCTTTGAGTGCATTTACTATATCTGACACACTAAGGCAAACTGCCATGATGATATTTAGCAGCAAACACTTATACATTACAGTATAAATGATGCAACACAGCAATATAAATATGATCAAAAACAGAATTGAAACACAAAACATTGACTCATAGGTCATAGTCAGTCAGTCTGTAAAAAGTGGGAAATCCCTGTCAGAGAAGGGTGGAGAATCCTCTCTCTTTAGAGAACTTAACCAGGTATTTTGCTTGCAGTCATGCAGTCACCATAGGAAGTAGTCATGGGTCAAAATGACCATGGTGATTTTGAGAAAAATAGTTTTTTGAAAAAATTTCCTTACATGCATATCTCCATAAAAAGCTAGGAAAAGTCAAAACTTTCAGACTCCTTCTGGTTCTTCTATAAATATAATTCCAAAATTTATAGTATTAATGCATAATGAGCATAATGGCAATCACATAAATATATTGTTTACAGCATTTATGAACATCATTTTTTATCTTGTAAATAGTCAAAATATAAATTTTTCTTGTTCTATTTCATTCGTATAACATTTTTAAAATTTAAATGATGGTATTTTTTCTTTGTTTTTCACAAAATGCTGTTCTGCAAATGGTTTATAAAATATATTTAATTAAAATTAATGTTTTCAAATACTTGTTTGAATATGTGAGATTTTTTTGTTTTAGATTATAATCAAGTTCTTACTAGAATACTAAAGTGTATTTATTATTTCAGGTCTTTCAGTACGTGATGTTGTTTTGAATTTTAAACATAAAGCAGTCTTATTATTTAAATTGTTTTTATTGGAAAGGAAGGTAAGAATGAAAAAATTCTCTTTACTATTAAATCTAATTTTTTAAATTTTGAACTTGTTCATTTATAATCATAAGCCTATACTGTCCATTATTTCAGGTTATAACCTGAAATATATTTTTAATAATAGTTTAAATTAATATTTAATACAGTCTAAAATTTGATTTTTTAAGATCTAAATCAGTGTTTCTCAACGGGGCAATATCGCCTCCATGTGGGCATTTTTCCATGTTGAGGGGGCGATTAGTAACAATTTACAATTTTCTGGGCGATATAGTAAAACATTATATTAAGAATAATTAGATATTTTATTCGTTATAACGTACAATAATTAAACAAATAACATTATACTAGTCACTAGTCTATTCAATGCAGTATGAATTTGGCGTTAGCCTTGGCCCTGGGCATCGGAATTTTGAAGTGAAGGGGCAATACTATGTAATGGTTTTATTGAAGGGGGCAATACTACGTTAAAGGGGGTGACGATTCGTTAGAGGTTGAGAAACACTGATCTAAATTGACTAAATTTGATATTTAATCCATTTAGAATTTTTAAGTTATTTAAATTTTAATGTAATTCTTTTAATAGTCTTGCATAAATACTATAATTTCAATATGAATAATGCAGAGATTATCTGTGCCATTCAAAGAGAAATAACACAATGATTGCAAAGAAAATTTTCATTGATCTTGAGCAACCAATTTGGTGTGGATTATACTTTGATTTTAAATTGCAATTATGAATTTATCCAATAGTTTTTCCTTTGTCTAAACTAATCATGTTTAAAACATCTGAAAAATTCTTTATGCACTGCATATTTATCTGTCAATGCAATTTTTCACCATTGGTATGTGGTACATGTTGTTTTTCCTCCTTGATTCAGCTTTTATGCATGATTGGATTGCACCAACAGACAGCTATTCCGGGGTTTTTTCCTGTCATTGTATTGTGGACTTAGAATATAGTTGTTTGTAGAAAAGGTTTTTATTGTTTGTGAATAGTTTGTTTTCTTGATATATTGGTTTTTGTACTGTAGTTCCACATAGCATCTTCATAGCTTGAGCATCAACCCTAAGTCTCTTATCAGCTTTAACTAGGAGCACATTGTTCTTCCTCATTTATTTCTTTTAATGTTATTTTAAAAAGACATGATGATTGTTGTGTTTCTCATTGTGAAATTGAATCAATGCTTTCCATGTAAAGTAATTCATTTTGCATATCACTTAAACTTTGGCTGCAAGTGTTTATTTGAAAATATTAATGAATTCCTGTATGTCTGTGTATCACATTGATTTTAATGTATTGTATCAGCCCACCTGATTGTTGTCTAATGTTACCTATTTGTGTTTCATAACATGCTTATATTTTGATGCTTGTGTATATTTTGATGTGTCTGTCTGTCATGTTTTTATTTTAATGATAGTATGTTACTTCAGTGACTACAGTAAACTATATAGTATTTTTTTTTCATTAAATATAAATTTAATTGGCACTGCAAAAGGCTTCAATAACTTTCATAAAATTGATACGTAAAATGCTCTTACTTGAAATGTAGGTACCAAACAAATTCACTTGTGTATTCAGATCTAAAGTTTTATGGTCTTTAAAATTAATGTATACATGGCAGGTAAATTTGTATTTGGAAACAAACAAAACAAATATTTCATTTTTTTATATGAAGCTTTTATGCTGTGATTGTTGTAGCCAAATAGACAACATAAATTTGGCCTTGTTTTCTTTCACAAAGTCAAGTTAATTGATTGTTTTTACCAGATGATATGAGTATATTGTCAATCTGTGTAGACTTTTGGTATTGTGTGTGTAGACATGTGTTATTGATATTTAGACTAAAGGTAGGCAATGTTCCCATTTGTCAATGTACTGGGTGATTGTAATTAAAGTATTCATTCTCATTTAATGTTATCTAAATATTCTTTACTCCACAAGTGAGTGCATAGATAGACACTGGGCATCACTAGTGATTTGGTTTCCACCAGGATTTTCTTAATCTCATTCTCATGGACGAGATTAGGAAACATCAACTGAGTTACATCAACTTTCTCTGTACCTTCCACAGTGTGCCAAAGGATACACTCAACTGGTGTGACATTGCACATGCACTACTGGAGCCAACATCATTATCATTGACTGTTCAATAACAGCTATGGTAACATCTTCAACAACTTGTGAAGTGATAGGTTTGTATCCACAATGAGGTTGAACTCTCAGACATCCAGTTTCTTCAAACTGATTGAGTCTCCTGAATCTTGTGGAGTCAATGGTTCTTGGCATAAATTTGCCCTGGCTATAAGGTGAACATAACTGACCTAGAACATGGCCAATAAGTTAGACTGCTAAATACCATAATTTTGCAAAGACATAGCTTTAATAAAAATGTCATCTCTGCAAAGAAAAACTGGTTTTGCTGGTGATTGAACAAAACAGAAGAATGAATATGATTTAGTTTCATCCATATTTAAAATTGTGAAATATACTGTCTGCCATTTTAATTTGCTAAATAACCTTTTAGACAACAGTGATAAGAACATTGTGATCATTCAGTATATCTTGATGAAAATGTACATTTAAGAAGTGACAACATAATAGATAATAAGATTAATATATTATTTTCTAACCTTAAAATAGTCTAAAAAATTTTGATAATTGGTTCTGCTTATATTATATTGAATTTAGCTCTTGTAAAGATTCTAAGATATATGATTTATAATGCAATAGAAATATTTAAATATTTATTGGACAAAGAAATTTAAAAAAAAAATGTAATATTGCAAATAATATAAAAAAGATCTTGAAATTTTTATTTACTAATGTAAATGAATATTTTTATATTTTTAGGTGTTATTCAGTAAATCTCCAGTCAAGGATTTATGTGCTGTAATTTTATCCATCTGTTCTCTGTTTCCAGGTTAGAAATCAAAACATTTCTCATTAATATGAAATTTAATGTTTTAACTTAATTAATTGATCATAATTTTTAGACAAAATTTATGAAAGTACTGGGGCTATGTACTGCATCATTTATATTTGTATCTGAAATTAGGTTTCTTTCATGTAAAAAAGAAAAGTTTATTTAATTTATGGATTTCTGTTTGATTATTAGTCAATAGTTATAAATTTAAATAATATCATTTAATATTATCATTTATCAGATATATTTATTATATTTATAAATTTAAATAATATCAATTAATACAAAAATTATCATTTATTTTATTATCAAATCAAACAGTAATTGATGTATTGGTATTGTAATCCTGTTGTCCTCTTACAGTGATACTACATCTTTATTAATATACAAAAGTACTATCAGTACAGAGATGATTACTCTGTTCTTTTACACTCTGCTTAAATGTTCTTAAGATACTCCAACATATTTTAGTTTATCATCTTTTTCATTGGATTTTACAGGGATAGAATACACCCTATGCTGTTGATATTATGTCCTACTTATCATTTGTCATCCTGTCAAAAGTGGTCAAATCCGTTAATGCACTATCCTGTACTTTTCATTTTCTTCTTTAAGTGGAGTTTGATGAGTTTAGTTAAAGGCAGGCCCATTACATGAACATCTTTTGTTCTCTGACATTTTTTTTCTTTTAGCTTGGTATTCCTCACCCCCTTTCAAATTGTTTCTTCTGAAGGTTATCCACCAAAAATTACAGTATACATTAAAAACCAAATGAAAATGCTGGATTCATCATGTTATAAATTTGGCTAAATAAATTTATAACATGATAAATTATATTTATATATATTATATATATATACAAATAATATATATAAATATAATTTAGGTTAAAGTTTGGCAATTAAGTTGTCATCTTGTATTACATTTAATAATTTAAATTAATTTGAGTCTTGCTTTGAATTGATATTTTCTGGGGTATTCTAAAGTTAATTTAATACTTATTAAAAAATATAAACCAAAATGGCAACCTTTAGTTTAAATTATGTACTATTCTTATATTTAATTAGTTATAATAAATCTGGTATGATCATTTGATTAACAATTTTTATTTATAAAAGTAATAGTATTGATAAAAAGTACAATATTCATCAATCATATGGCAAACACGTGAGTGGGCATTCAGATCCCAGGGATGGTAAAATAGAGTTATTAAACCATCTCTGGGAGGTCCCCTCACCATGGACAGGAACCCACATCAAGGGCTATTATAGAAATGATAAAAATATGAAGAAAAAGCATGAGGAGATATTAGACAGGAATGGATGATGTTTTGCTACTTGCTGTAAATATGAAATATACACAAGCTTACAAGGCATAGGACCAGCTCCATCAGGTCCTAAGTCTAATATAATCTTAATTATGTATGGGTGTGTGCATGTCACTACACATTTTACAATCTTTTGCAATTTATATTTTTCACTGATTCAATAATTTATAATTACTACAATGCATGTTCCAAAAAATGGACTGAATGGTTATAAAACAAACAAACACTTATCAAAAATTATTATTGGTTACAAAATGTACAGGTAACCCCTTTACTATGTAGTTGTCATTTTTTTTTCTCAAGCACTTTTAGTATTGTGTAACAAGCTTCTTTATGTCTTCTGTATAATATTCTGCCACCTGAAAAGTTCAACCAGTTCAGCACAGCTGTTTGCAACTCCTCAGTTTCAATTGTTGAGATGCAAGCCATTTCTTTAAGTGCAGGTAGAGGCAATAGTGATTGGGTATAAGGTCAGGACTGTAAGGGTGTGTCCAAACAGTTCCTATCCAAATTGCTGAAGTAGCTGAACAGTGGAGCAGCAGTGTGCAAGCATGCATTGCATGCAGAAAAGAGTTCATAACATTTTCCTGACAGAATTTCCTGGCTGACATCACCTCTTCCTGCAATGGTTTGCATCTCAACAATTCAAAGAAACTGAGTAGTTGCAAACAGCAGTGCTGTATTTGTTTGTAGTCTGTAGAATGTTATGCAGGAGGCATAAAAGAAACTTGTTTCATGATATGAAAAGTGCTTGAAAAAAACAATGACTACATAGAAAAATGAAAGCATTACATGTGTGTTTTGTAACCAATAAATTTTTGAAAAAGTGCTTGTTGTTTTAATAACCATTTGGCCCTTAAATATATATAATTGGTTTATAAATATACAAATAGTTTAATATATTAAATCATTTGTTTATATACTGCTTTTTACTTGTTTAATTGCAGAATTATTTATTGTGCCAATTTATTTTTAAATTCTTTTTAAAAATTTTTGTCAGTTTTTGTTATTTAGTAAGTTAGCGATGCTTGTGCTTACTATACTTATGTATTTTGAGTTTATCATTATGGCATTCTTCATATCTTTGCTAATTAAAATTGTAAATCTGTATAAACAAATAAATAGATCATAATAAAATAGGCTTACTTTATTATTTGTTAAAATCCTAATATTTTATAATTAACGTAAGTTACTTTTCTTTTCAATCTAGCCCCATTACTTTCTATTTCCACAAGCTACCACTGTTGTTTATTCAGTTATTTGCATTTTATTTTTCTGGTGCTAAATCCTTCAGTATGTTGTGAATTTTACATGGGATTCTCAAATTATACAAGTGTTACATTCTAAATAGGTTATGCATATTTTTAATCTTTGATTCAAATCCAAATGAATCATAATTTGAACCAAAGTTTTTCATTTAAACTAATAGTAAAGATTAACTCTATATATTAAATTTTTGTCATTTATGTTATCCAATTGAATTACTCTTTAACTTGGTTTCACTTTATCAATCATTAACACAAATTCTAGCATTAACAAATTAAATTATACATTTTCTCTATCATGCAATAAAACTCAGCTCCTGCTTGAATACAGCATTAACTTCTCAGCATTGGATAGTTATTTATGACTCATCCTGTATATTGAAACTATTTATAAGTAGTATAGTGCATATAATTAATAATATAAATAATAAATATTGTTAATAAATGCTGCCAGTATATAATGTTTAACATGGATAAAACAAAAACAAATCTGATGAGCTGAAGTTAAAAATTTTCAAAGATGTTTTCAAAAAGAAATCAATTCTTAAAAGATTCTTGAAAGCATGAGATGAAGAAAGAAAGATGTAAATTGGAAAGAAGGATGAAAGAATGAGTAGATGTAAACAAAAAGCCAATTTGAACAGATGAAAAGACAACTATTATACTTTGAATTGTTGAATTAAAGGTAAATTATGTTTAAAAATTATAGTTGGTAAATAGAAATGTGGCTATTAATTATATATAAGAGTTTGTTCAGGAAAATTATGTAATTCTATGGATTTTCTCTGAAGCCAGTACATCAAGAGAATAGTTGATGAATTTAACTCTTCTTCAAGGTGTTAATTGTAACAAATTTTCAAACAATTAATATTGTTTGAATGATGTTTAGATACAAATGTGAGAAGCCGGTGGCAAAGGGGAGGTTCCCTAAAGACTGCTTATTTGGTGACGGGTTGGTTAAACCCACTCACTGCATCACTGGATGGCTTAATAGGAGGTCTTAAAACAATTGAGTGGGGATTGTGATGAGTAAGTCAATAGGGTGTCCAAAGTCCTAGAAAGACAGGTAGACAGATTACAAACAACACAAAAGTTTAATATAACTAAATCTAAGATTACAAAATACTACGAAACACACAACTAAGCTACTCGTGTCAGCATGTTGCTCATGAGGTTCTTGGGAAATCATTCCCGTTCTATCTATGTTTAAGGAGAGAGAGAGAGAGAGAGAGTTTACATATGGGCTAACAAAATACCTCTGAGAAAGAGTTGATGTTCTTTATTTTCCTGGAGGAGTATATGGTGTTCTAAGGTGAGCTATGGTCTCTGTCATATGGTGGTTCTAGCCGGTATTCTCTATGGCTGAGTATGTCCTCTCTGAGGAGGTTTGCCCTGGAGATGTCCACCACAAGTCTCAAGTTGGAGCCTCTTTTATTCTCCTTAGGCATGGGAAAACCCATCAGGTAATCAGTTGTTTGGAGACGAATTTGCAGGTGTGAGATTAGAGGTTGCTGTCAATGACTCTAAGATGTCATTTAAAAAGGGAGCTGCTACTACCATATTTGGTTTGAGGCCTGTAAGAAGATTCATCCTGTTACTTGTTTGAAGGCTGACTTTCCCTTCTTTTAACAATAGGTTGTTATAATTTAACACTAGATTGTTAAAATTCTTTAATGGTTGTTGATGAAAAGGGTGGTATTCAATCCATTTTCTGTGTGATGTTTTTTCTTAACGATTGTGATGGAGAAATAGGCTAAAAATTTTCTTAATTTAGCACAAAATTGGGTTTGCCATCTGACACAAATATTACCATTAACAGTCAAAGAATGTTACTGTATTATGTGTATAATTTTGAATTGAGAATACATTTTGAACAGCATGTACTGATTGTGCAAAATTAGATATTTAAAACACATAATTTGAGAACCCCTCATCTTTATTATTGATAATTTTATCATTAAATTATACTAAAATTTTTGTGCATTTAAAAAATTATATTTTATTTCTTACATTTTAGGTATGATTGAAAAAGGGTTGATTGAAGCAGCAGCTAATATTACAAATAAACATTATTCATCTGAACTAAGAATGAGTAATGAACATGATTATCTAGAAGTTCATATTATGGAAAACAATAATGATAATGAATTAGGTAACATTTCTTCTAATTTAATAGAAGCAGAAAATTCTGAAATGGTTAGAATTGATAATAATCAACAAGTGAATGAAAATTATGGGAATTTAATTGTTGAAAGTGTGCAAAATACTTACCAATCAAAAGAAAGTTCTACTAATACTAAAATTAATTCAGAATTAGAAAAGAAAAATTGTAATTTATCTGTTTCTGAAATAACATTTGAGGAAGAAGATAAATTGCTTGATGAAATTGATGAAGTTTTATCTGACTGTAGTAAAGAAGAAAATGAAGTAGATAATTGTTCTAAAAATAGGGAAAAAAAAGAATCTGATAAAGTTCCAGAGTTGAGTGGAATTCAGAACCATAATGATTTAAAAATGAAGGATTTTAAAGAAATGCATGAAAATGAAAGTTTTGATAAGGTTAGCTTTTCAGTAAAATATGAAAATATGGAAAAGGATAATACTGATATTAAAATTAATGACTTACAGTTGTCGGATAATACTTTAATGATTGAAACTGATGACTGTGGATTTCCATTATCTATTTTTACTAAGGTATGAATTTTTATCTTTTATTAGTTCTATTGGTTCTGTTAGTTATACTTTTAAATTGATCTCTAATGGAAAAATGAATCAATGAAAATTTTTATTGGTCTACCGGTATCAATAAAAATGATCATATGAAATTAAACTACAAATTTTACTAATAAAAATTGAAACAAGTATTAAATTTGCACACAGCTTAAATTTAGATTTTTTTTATTACAGTAGTAGCACTGAAAATAGAAATAAAATAGATTTAACCAGATTCAAAACATGATTGTCCTCATTGTGAACATTTGAAAACTGTGATATTACTATTAGGAAATTTACTAGGAATTTTCTAACAGTTAAAAAAAATCAAGGAAACTTTTATGTTTTGCCTAAAGTTAAGAAAGATATTTATTTATTTTTTTGGAAATTTACAAATGATACAAAGATAATTTTAGAACGAAGGAATTTTTAAAGCTAAAAATTCTTTACAATCATTTGGCATTTTAACACTTCTCATAAACCTCTGGTGCCTGGTGACAAAATTTACAGGTAAACAAACGTTTTTGAGCCTTCTGAGTTTGCTTTAAGTTTTCTGCTGTCTTTTAAATGGAACATGAATCAAAGCTATAATTCAAATCTAAAACATTACATGCTTCAATGGACATATGAGGCAGTAAAATGTGCATTATTACAAAATTCAGTGGGCTATGCTTTCCATAGATAGACTAGATCTTATATTGCTTGCCAAGCATATGAGATTTGTTTTTCTTCTTTATAAATAATGCATGTCCCTCTCTTGTTGGCTTTAAAAATTTCAAGGGCCTTTATTTCTCAGATATCTTCATCTTCATGGGCTGTGTGTATCAGTGTCTCTTGATGGAATAAAGTTTCTATATTTATCAGAGATGTATGTGGCCAGGTCAGTATAGTTTTCCATTATTCTTGTCATATTGATGCCCCTTTAATCTTTGTTTCAAAGATCTGGTAGTAGATCCAATATATACTAGGTCACTACCAATCCTGTTATCCCTTAGGGGTATAATACAACTCTAAAACTTTATACGATACAGCCAAATTTATTATCCCAATTCAAACGTTTTCGGACATCTTTAATGCCCTTTTTCAAGAACGAACTAACTACAATCGAACTAACTAAAATCGAATACTGGCTAATTTGTATATGTATCCATGGGGCTTTCTGTGTATTTAGGGGATCTTTTCTATTTCTAAGTATTGTGTATATGGTTGGGTTCAATTTATACATAATGCATGTACCCTTGTCTGTTATTGTCTATAAATTGCATCTAAGTGATGCTCATATCTCACCACTATTTGGTTAGCATATGTTTGTTCCATTTCATTTGTGTTTAAATTACTAGCAGGGGAGGGCTCATTAAATTGGGATAGACATTTCTTAGCTAGGCCTTCAATCACTTTTTTGTGGAAACCATGCATCTTAGCAATTGAAGTAATGCATATTAGTTCATCATTCATGTCCTTGATCCTTGTACAATGTATGCATACTTTTTGCATGCTAGGCTCTGAATGCTGCAGCTTTGTACTGGAATGGGTCATACAAGTCCTCAGGGATATATAGTGGACAGTAATCTTGCTTATACTATAAGCTAGGTTACAATCATAGACAATGGCATGAACAGAAAAAGAACTCAAACTGCACTTTGGTACAATACAATTATACACAAAAATGAAACAAGCTGGATTAGAGGAAGAAAAAACATGCATAATACATTAGTCATACTCTATGCATATACTGTATGAAGGTTTAGAAACATTAGTGCATACACCATGTTTATAAAAAGCAGTTATACTAAATGCATGTCACATAGGAAATTCTTAAACATACAGTAGAACTCATCTATTAGAAAGTTCCTTTCTCCAGGAAAAACCCTTGTTAATAAACAAACTTTCTTTAGAATACAATTCTTCGGTCATCCAGGAATGTCTGTTTGCCTCATATTTGACTGATAAGTTTACCACGAAAACAATGCAGCATCGTCTTCTTTCCTATTACAAGCAAAGACAGTTTCTCACCAAGTGCACTGGCACCACAAAGGAAATGATGTTCTTTGGACCACTTGCCTCAAGCACATGTAGCATCTTTGAAATTGTGAGCCTTATTTAGTAATAGCTACCAAAATAGCCTCAGCTCATCCATGTTGAAAATGTCTGCTGGGAAACCAATATTACCAGCAGAATATTGGTTTCCCAATCAGCAACAACATTGCTTGAAACTGATGCATGCCTCTCCTTGATTGAATATCATGATTTGAAACAGTTAATCCAGTTTGTGTCAATCTTACTCAACTTATTTTCACTATATTATATTTTTCATGCAAATTCTTTTGCTTTATCTTGAAGCAAAGGTCTCAATATTTCAGCTTGGCCTACCTTCTCCATGCTAAAATGTTTGGGCTGCATGACTGTTGGCTTTCTCTTTCCAAGCTCAAACTCTCTTGCAATTTTATTATTATTTTTTAATGCATGAAATTAATGGCTCATTAGTGCTGAACTTTCAGCAACATTTTTTTTGCTTTCATTCACTTTTAAGCAACTACACAATTTCATATTTTTGTTTTAAATCCAAATCATGTGTTGGCCTCTTGTTTGCCATTCTTCACCTTTTCAGCTCAAGATCAAAAATTTAATACTTGCTACACAGCATAGCAAGTGAATGACATAAGGGGAGGCAGGTAAGGAAGCATTCATTGTCAAAACTTGCTAATAGGTAAACTAATTACATCGATGGTGCACGAAAATCTTGCCAATATGCAACTTACTGTCAAACTATTTTACATTAAAATGTATAGGATTTTGGGGATGTATTAGAGTATCTTGCTTTTAAGCAAATCTTGGTATTATGGGACTTAGATGAGATGAGTTTTACTATAGATACATGTATGAACAGCACATAATCACATTAGCAGTTTTTTTGTAGTTATCTGTTGGTTGACCTTGGTTTGGCATAGCACTAGGCATTGGTATTAATCAAATAAGATACAAATCTGCCAATATCATAAAGAGTAAAATAAATTTGAAAAAATTATGTAGACAAATATTTTAATGACAATTACATCAGTGACTTTCAAATCTATTACATAGATTTGAAAGTCACTGATGTAATAGATAGATATGTAATAGATTTGAAGTCATCTCAGCTTTAAAATATGAATTTTAAAATAATTTTTTTGGAGTTGTTATTTATAGAGAAAAAAATTATGCAAACTTATCTACTTACAAGATAGAAGTTTAAATAGGACTATACAATGATAGCAATTAAAGTGACACACAAAATGAACAGATGAGAACTAAAGGTATTGTGGTGCATGTGTGTCTCTGATGGTTTGGGAAAAAATTTCAATGGCAGATGAATTTCTGTGACACAACAGATCTATCACATTTTCTAAAAACAGTTTTGTGAATTTAGAACAAGAAATTGTTTGATTTGTATTTGCAAGTTAAAATTGACAGAAGATTTATATTGTGAGAATCAAGGGCATAGAAAGTGATCTATGTCACTTACTGACACACAATCGTTAGATTGGCTCACTAAAACTTTTTATAGGAGGGCTTGTTATAAGTAAAAGTGGATAAGGACTGTGAAGTCTCTATCAAATGTCAGGATAATGACACCAGTTAATCAAACTTATTCCACACAGATTAACATGCGTATCGAGTCATGAAGGAGATGATGAAATATGTTTGATTCAGATGACGTAAGAGACATTTCTTTAACAATAAAAACAAAAATTTAATGAACAAGAACTAGGTTATACAAAATTGAATCCTCAAATAAGACTATTGATCGAGAAGAGATCTCACAATTTCTGTTAAAAACATACTATCTTAAATCATGTGTCTTTTTGTCTTCTTCTTGTATCTTTGGTTCTGGATGAATGTTCTTATGTTCTTTAGCGGCACATAAATAAACCTTTTTCTTCACTGTATTTATTGACTTAATAATTCATTTAGGAGACTTCGGGAATCAGTTATGGGCATTGGTCGTATGGAGATGATGTGGAATACATCCTCCTCCTCCTCTTGAATTTCGTGGCGTACTCCCCGAATGATACAAAATTCTTTCTGTTTCTGATGAATTTTCACCAATCAGCATTTCGTAATTTTCACGTGAACAGGAAAAAGGGGATTTATCGAGGGGTTGACAATTCCCAGGGTGACTAAAATTTTAGGAGATAAGGGAAAACAAAAAGGATGTTCAACTTCTGTTGAAGGAAGTGACTTTTTCCAGTTTCCTTCGTTTTTGAAAATATAATTTTCCCATCAAAATCATAGAATATTTTCATCTAAAATTTTTCTATTTCAATTAATTTTTTAATTAATTACAGGTGTGGTTCGCATCTCACAATATTGTCACATAACCTACATTTAACTATGCTGAAAAGTTAGATTTGATGAATGGCATAAAGATTAATTTTATCATCACATCAACAAATAGTTTCAATAAATATACAAATGTTGTCGACCTTACATGAGCTTATTAATAGGCTGAAAACATTTGTATATTCATAGAAATTATTTGCTGGTATGAAGGTAAGGTTATTTCTTGTGTCATTAACTTACATTTGCTTTTAAATTTACTTTTAAGTGCACAACCTTCAGATTATTCACAGAAAATTATGGTAAAAATATTTTCTAAAGTGGTTAACTCTGTTTTATTTCTACTTTAAACTTTGGTACTGTAATAAAATTGTTTCTGTAAATTGAATACATCTGCTTGACTTTTGAATTATACATCAAATTTTAATTTAAAATTGAATGAAAATTTTAAAATCTTCATAGTTTAATAATAATATAGGTAAAACTTGTTAAGGGTATATTTTCATATTAAACCAATAAAAATATTTTTAAATTTACTGTAAAATACAGGAAATTTTCTAACTGATGAATTAATTTAAACAGACCAATATTTTGAATGTTTGATATAAGAAGGATTTTATATATGGAGGATGATAAATGATCAGTTACAACTTCACAAGTATAAA